TGTAAGAAATGTGGGCGGGGGCTTCGTTTTTAGATAAACGCTAACCCTAAGGATAACCAACCAACCAACCACCACAATAAACGTGTTCAGAGATCACCGGGGTCTGCCCGGTATATACATGTTGACTACTGGTACCTGTTGTCACACGTCCCTCTAGTAGCGCTGGACATGTCCCTAACTTTTTGTCGCCATGGTCCTAGTAGCAACCCTCTTCTTCTTTCCGATCTCCCTGCTGCTGGCGCACAGCATTGTGAAGGTCGCTGCTCTGCAGCCATCTCATTTTTGCGGTACTGGCACTAGAGAGCATGATGTCGACTCATCGCGAAGGGCTTTCTGGCAAATCCCCGCGGCCACTGTCGTCACAACCATACTGTGCGTTTGCAGATCTTACGTGGACTTTTCAGATTTTGACATGTAAAAAGCTTCGGTCGTCTTTAACTCGCCAGCTACCGGTACGATTACAACAAACAAAATATCTACGCACCTCTACTCCTTCCAAGCTTGTGCGCTATGCTAACGGCTGGAGCTGGATGCAGCTATACAGCAATGAAGATATTGGTTGAAAGTAGCAACGGATCGTCTCGTTAAGTAATTTTGCCGGTCACCGATTGATTGCTAGTGTGACATTGGGCTCCATAATTGGGGAAGTTTCATGATTAATGATGGGTCGGAATTTGTAAAGTTTAAAAAAATCGACACTTACGAAAACACATTAAAGCTGTTGGCCTGCTCTGCTCGGGGTCCGAAAAGATCTTTTGCGAGCAAAGGTGCGGTTCGAGACCAGAACGACGTTTTCTCAAACGTCCTCGCTTCTGTCGCGAACCGGGGTGTTGACAAAACGTCCGTCTTGTCTGCTCAATGGTTTTGCTCCCAATCGTTGCCCACGTTGCCATGAGACGATGCGATTGTATTAGTCGGAACGCAACGCTTTGTCTTGCGTGCTTCGCTGCACAACTACTGGTACAGCCACAATCGCAACTACAGCAATCGACCACGGCTGATAGTGTTGGTTCGATCAAGATGGCAGATTCGAGCGCTCGTGGTCCTGTTGGGACGGCGGAGGACGAAGATGGTGTTCCAGACGATGAGGTAGCGATCGCGACGCCGCAGGCGCCGTCGAAATCGAAGGAGAAGAAGCCCAAGAGAAAGAAATCGACTTCGTTGACAAGACGGCCCAAGAAATCAACGAAGAACACTCAAAACATACGGAACGACTATGTCGAGAGAAATCCCGACCTCCTGTCGCCAGAGGATGCGTCAAGTCGCAGCAACCTCGATATTACCCCCTTGGTGGATTTGATTCCTCGTGCGGCGACTAGTCCTCTCGCAGCAGCAGCAGCAGCAGCAGCAGCAACAACAACAACAACAACAACAGGAATGACTCTCCGTACTCAAAACAACAGAAGAAACTACGCAGACGACGATGACGAGTACGAAGACAACACGGAAGAAATGGAGAAGGCAGGAATCGACGATGATATCCCTGCGTTCATTAATGGAATTCCGGAAGTCCAACCCAAAAAGCGAGGCAAAATGAACAAGGGCGAAATGCAACGACGTCGAATGGTGATTGCGTACGCTCTCCTAGATGCCTTCGGTGCTATCCCAGAAGACAGCGGAACCTGGGGTGGTCAGAATGGGATCGCAAAAGCAATTGCAGTTCATTTCTTGCATTTGCCCAGGTCATTTTCGGACCTTCGTGCAATCAAGACCACCATGCGAATTGTTATGGAGCATTACAAAGTTGGGATACCCTATGACGGAAGCAACAGGCCACGAAAGGATTACAACAAGTACTACATCCCTGACGACTCTTTTGAGATGCAGTTGATTGCTGATTGCATTGAAGAAAACTATGGCATTACGCAGACCACTGCTTTTGTTAATCTTCACCGCAGCCAACAAGGACATGACTTGATGTTCGGTCGGTCCACCATCTACAATGCATACAAGCGCTTGCCACACAGTGTTACGCCCATCTCCAAGCGATCGCAGGGAAGCCTTGACAAACAGAGCAAGTGGTGTCGAGCCAATTATCAATGGCATTGCCAGCTGGCAATTCGTTTTGGGATAATGACTCCAGACCGATTGGAGAAACTCAAAGTAAATGGTGTTCTTCCTGAATGCTACGACATCAATCAATTGACCAAGCTCAATGTCGAGGGCGTCATTTATTGGGACGAAGTGCACAAGCAAGTGGTAGTAGGAAAGTGTGGTGTCAGCGGCCGACAGACAGAGACAAGGTTCAAGAGAGACAAACACGGAAAGCTTGATCCGAATGGCACGTATCGTCCTCGAAAGACACAACTCAAGATGAAATACACGGAAGAAGCAAGGTTCTCTGTAGGTGTCGCTCTTAAGAGACTACCAAGCGGACAAGTGATTGGAGTACGGCTACCCATCTTCGAATACACAAGCAAGAACATGGTGACGCACAAGGACTATGAAGATGCTTTCTGGAAAGAAGTAAGACGTCCTAAGTCACTCAAAGGGGACTGTTATCCGTGGGTTGTCTCGGCACGTGATAAGACGAAAAACTATACTGGCGACAATGTCAAAAATTTGAAGCACGTTGGAAAGGCTGCCACCACTGCACTATTCACAATGGACGTTCTGACCATTGGAGACTTCGTCCATCAACTTTGCGGTCCACAGAAGTGTCCCAACAAGATCCAGTCATTTCGAAGCCAATGCCGACACATCAGCAATGCTAAGTTTGAAGAGATGTGTACCGATGCAATCCTTGCCTTGCCTGGACCACCTGAATCTGTCGACCATCGCAAGAAAGACAATCCTTACTTGTCTAGATTTGGGGAAGCACATTGGAGGCAGGAAGTCATTAACTCCTCTGCCATGCAGAAGGTAGTGTCAGTCCGCAATTTGGTCAGACACATGTACCAGTGTGGCATTGACTTCTTCAAAGGAAGTAATTTCGAAACAAACTGGCACTTCATGCACGACGCACTGTCACTCATGACTGCTAAGGAAACAAAAGATTGGATGGAGAAGGAGCGAATCAAGAAGCACTGGATTCTTCCTGAATTGGGTTTGAACGACAAGATTGGAAAGTTCGGTGGACGTCCTGTTGGGAACAACCCACGTGATGCACCAGCTGATCACATCTTGAACAAGACGCATGACGATGTTGTCATTCGACACGTTGCTGCCACATCCCATCTTCCAAAACAAGACCCAAAGAAGTTCTCCCTTGCAACTCCTCTTCTCATTGCTTCGGCCTACAAAAGAGTGTGGAACAATCCGCCTCTGGAACGAGACGGAACAATTCTATGTCCTGTTGAAGAAGGTGCTCCGTCTTCAGACAGAATCAAACATGACATCATGAAGACACAGGAGTACATCCTCGAAGTGGTGGACAACGATGGCTTAAACACTGTCGGCAAGGCAAGCATCGCTGGACATCGCGGTGACGACGCACGTCTTGCTGGAACAACCAAGCGAGGAGGTGCTCGGAAGAAGAATGAAAAAGAAAAGACCTTCTGGTTTCATCCAGATGCAAGAGATGGCTTGAAGACATTCACAGAAGAATCACTTGAACGCTGGAAGGGAAAGAACAACGTCAACGTTGTCTCGAACGATCAACAACAAGCAACCATGGATCCGGACGCTTTCGTGGAGAAAGACGACGTTGAAGTCCTCCCACCAAAGGAAGACCGTTGCCCTGACTCTCCCAAGAGAGGATCCATCAGCTGTTCCAACCAGAAAGAAAGCAACGAAGCAATCTTTGCCAGAAACAGAGCAGATTGAGACAACTACATGAAGCTACGAGTACAGTACGAGACTTATGCCTTGTTGTTTCGTTATACTTTGATTGTTATCTTTGTTCGGCCGCTATTAAAAACATCCTACGACAGTGCAAACACCCTACTATCAGCCAACAAAAACATCCTGCGACTGTGGAAATATTCTACTACCAATTTCAAATCTTCACACCAACTCTCCAGTTCAAACTTCCTCAACATTCCAACTCTTGACAAGAACACGTCCATAAGCCTCTGCCTCCTCTTCTTCTTCCTCTGCCTCCTCTTCTTCTTCGTTATCTCCAGCTTGTTCTGTTCGGCGATATTTGCTTAAGGACTCGAGAACATCTTGATCCTTCCGGAGTGGCTCGAAAAGAAGCTTCTGCCCAAGCACACGATCTTTGATTTCACCGGGGCCGTAATAAATTTCGGGCTCAAGACAACAGTAATGCCACCCATCAGCAATGAAGAAGTGAACGTCGTGCCAACGTTTAAAGGTGAGTTGATTCCAAGCATGTGACATGTATTCCTCGTGAACCACCAGAGCATCCTTTCTAATTCCATCGAATCTGCTTGTGTGGAGACCGAACAGAGTGAGGAAACTCTGACGGCAGAGAGTGTAGTCCACAGCGAAGTCCTGTTCTCGGCTGGTGTCATAACCAATAATTAGGGGTACCTTGAAATGCCACTTCACGTTCTTGCGATGAGGATCTTTCAATGCAGTCACGTCCGGAAAGACACAAGCAACAAGAAAGGCTCGTGCAACATCTTCCCCTTGTTCGACCACAAGATCAACGACGAACTGGCGGATTCGCTTCTGATCGTGGGGAAATGACACAAGCTTCAAGCACTCGCACTCCTTCTTGTTGCATCCAGACAATGGCAACAAGGACGTCAAGTCGCCAAGCTTGCACTTCGTCCAGACAGAACGAGGCGACACCTTGGCTTTCTTCTTGATTGGTGACATGGGTGTTGAATTCTTTGGAGTCAACTTGACGCCAACACTGTTCAAAATGAGCTCGTGCTCGTCTACCGGCTCCTCTTCGCTATCAGTTTCTAGGACCAGCTCGTCAGCGTCCTTGGCTGCAGCAGCGGCCAATGCAGAAGTCAAGTCCCTACGAGCAGACATGATCTAGTTTATGGCTGGTGCAGAACTACACTGTATGTCCAAGCAAGCGCAACTCCATCTTGGCGACCACAACTCCAACCAAACAACACCGACCTCATTGGATTGCACTTCCAATCGGACGTTTCAAATTAAGTGCAAAAGTTGCTGCCAACGCTCCGGAACGATCTTTTGTGGTGAGTTGGATACGCGAAAACTTGAACGATGGCAACAGTGTCGCCATGCGCCGTCGATCCACGAAGCTTTGCCAGCTCTCACACGAAAACTCAAAATCCCACTAAGTATAGGCCATCGATCTGGACTTGAAACAGCATTCAAGTCGCATCCGATGTCATGAACGAATCCAACAACCACGGACTTATGAGGGCAGTCATCAAGACAACAACCAACAACAACAACAATAAGTAACTTTGAGGATATGGAAGTCAACAACAGAGTGGTCGCCGAGCTATTCTGTAGCCACAGTCGTGTCCGCAGTGGTCGAGTTAGTGTGAGCACCACCAACGATATTGTCATTGGATGCACTATGCGAAAGGTCGCACCATGGCCCCCACATATGAGGCGCAAACGCACAGTACTAGTAGCAGCTTTTCCAAGTCCGTCGTCGGCAGCTGCGGGTTCGAATGGCCTACCGTTGACAACAGCTCCTTCTTCTGGCTTGAAATGGGCCGACGCAAAGGTGGGAAGCGGACAGCCTTTGTCGGCTGGTGCTCCTGCCTCCATTGATTATTCCATGGCGAGCACAGGTGGCCGGTTCCCTCAGATCTACACAACGAAAGACAAAGGAGCTCCATACCGTTGGAAACTAGGAGACGGTTCGACGATTTCTGGGGTTGAACTAGCAATTCTTGGAGACGAAAAGGATGGTATTCCCCCGATGCTTCCAGGTGGAATTCGTCGTGTCATCATACCATCAACTCTTGGATATGAATCTTTGGCTGCTCCCAACTCCAAATGTGAAGCGGGTAAAGAGGGTTCCATAGGCCCGATTCCTCCCAAAGACGAAATGGGATTCTACAACCGTTGGCTACAGTTGTACTGCAACCCGCGCATCCCATACCAACCTGACCTCGTTTTTGATATTAAGCTGTATGGCAGGAGGTAGCCACAAATATCCTGCTCGATGCTATGAATTTCGTCCAGACTTTGGTATGCAAACACATTCAAAGTGGAAGATTCACGGAGCAGTTGGCTAGCTAAAACGATAGATTCGATTCAAAGTATTGAACTTGGAACCTAGCTAGCCGCTCTTAATAGTCTGACATGCTACACTCGGCAGAGACGCTCGGACTCCCCCGCGACTTCCATCATGATATGCATGAAGGAGCAGAGAGACTGAAAACAAAGCAGAACTTTAGATCTCGACTGTGTCGTCGTTGCCACTTGCTTCCGATTGTCTCGGGAGCCTTCGAAGTGTCTTTCCTTGATTGCAGGCTGAATGGAGAACCCTTGCTATCTGATGCTCCTGGACCTAAGTGCGAGCACAGTCACAACCGCAAAAGTGACCGGAACAGTCAAAAGAAAGTCCGCAATCCTCTCTAAACCGCTCCTCCTGTTGGCAATTTTGTTCTTTCAGCCATGCCAATTGCACACAAAGCGTGCGGCACGGTCCCTGTCAAGAGAGGAGCATTCCCAGATGCATCCATTGCCACAATTGATCCGTTTCCGGCCAAAGCACTCAATTCGTGAGGCAGGCCTCCAGTCAGGTTGTTTCCCTCGAGCTTCGACAGCAAACCCCAGTTCCGACGGTACCGGTGGGTATTGGTGGGATGGAGCTTTGAGAAACAGATGATTGAGAGGCAACATTGAATAGATACCAGGTTCCAGTGACACTTCAGGGATTGCTAGCATGCATCCCTAGCTAGCTGTGGCACATGTAGATTTGTCTGCTACTAGTTAGCACAGAGAAGCGAGACAAGTTGCCTCCTTGGCAATAGTAAATTGAGGCATCTTGCTCACTCAGCAGGCAAGTCCGCAGGGGTTGAGTGGAAATGTTACCAGGTAGGTTTAGCATCCAAACAATAATACTCATTGGAGTGAATAGTTGTGTGATAAGTACGACGAAGCTGCTACACCAATGCCAGACCAAGCATGCATCTTCAGACCAGCAAGACATCAACTCAGTCACCACGTAGAGATAGATCTCGCCGACAGCTTCGTAGCGAAAAGCCTTTGCTGCCAAAAACCTGCGAAAATATGTACTAGTAGAGAACAGCGCCGAAAGCTGTTCTGCAATCGCTCTGCTGGCTAGTTGCAGCTTGGATACGGTACCAGTCGATCTTTGTGTGGCTCATAACTTCAATCTCTCACCACTCCTTTCTTGCTCTCGACGCACGGGCAATCAGACGGAGTTGGTACTGCGGGGTTCCGATTTTGTTCGAGGAAGCAGTTTCGGAAGCCAATGAGGAGGAGCATTTTTGTGATCCTTCCATTCGTGCACAAGGAATTGGCTTCAAACTGACCACTCCAAAGGCGAAGCTACTTGAGGCTTGCGACAGTTCCAGACAGGAAAGGCGTCTCAACAGTGGTCAAAAAGTGATGATGTGTTTGTTAAATAGCATAAGAGCCCACGCATCAGCCTTACTTGGTCCGGTACCGTTTGGTGGCCAGGTGGCTGGTGAGCTCTGGTGGCTGGCTATCCGCGAATAAACGAGATCACCCATGGCCAAGACCAAGCACGAAATACTAGGATACAGTAGATTGCTTGATTTGGAATCCTAGAAGACAAATTGTTAAATCCTGGCTTACCCGAGGCCTTCAACAATTAGGAAACACTTAAAACCTGATGCCCTTACCATTCAGCGACCTTCAGTTCTTCTTCGTGCTTTGTTGGAGAGTTTTCCAAGGAATCTTCTCTCTGGTTCAAAGGCAGCAGGATTCGATTCGCGCTGACAGCATTCAGAATTTGTATGTCACCGCGTTGTTCACACTGATGATATGAATCGAATCATAGCATTAGCATTCGAATCTTCAATCAAATTTGCGTGCGGAACAGCTTGCTTTGATGGTTGCTGATATATACTAAACAATGTTTTTTCACTTCGTGTACCTATACTTGTCAACAAAGATACAACATTCTTCTTTTTT